CCCTCCCTTTTCTTTCCCTCAAACTCCTATTGACTGACAGGTTATGCGTTTCTTTGCAAATCTCCTTGTTTATTAATATTTGTAGGTTTGCTCATCTACTGTCTTGATTCTTCCTCTTATTTAAGCTGAAGGAATTATTTATAGGCGTTCGCTCCTTCTCTTATCAGTGTTTAAGAACGAAGGGTACGCAGTAGCACTTCGTTGACCGTTTCAGTTGGAATATGCAACAACTCGGTACCGGAATAGTGATAATTTGCTGCAGCAACCTTGCTTCTGTTACCATTTACCCAATTTTTAGTTGGATCGGCAGCATGAACTGTTCATTCAGTTTAAGCAGTTCTTCGTACTTAACACGTTGACGACAAAGTGCAGCGCATGCGCTCACACTGCCACACTCAAATAGTTCATTTTTTCCGCATGCGCTTCTTCTTTTCTTATTTTTTGCATTCATTCTATAGATCACATCCAAGTGACCATGAACCGAACGGTTGAATATTCTTTACTTTTGTGAAACTGGAAACATTCTGGTCCATCACGTATTGCGTTTTTAAAGCTCAAAATTCACGGATTTGATGTGAGGCGGCGGCGCCTGCAAAATCGCTCTGGTCCCACGCGGTGCAAAAACCCAAAACGCGCGTTGTCGTCAACGTGTTAACTAATTGGATTTTTTGCCCTTAATTTTTTTATTTTTCTCGTTGAGAAGGAGCTGGGTGAGAGGGGGGAGTGGAGGGAGGGGACCACGTTGTGATTACTTTTAATCTAAAAACGCTTTCATGCTTCTATATGCGGTTGGCGTGAGAAAATGCCGAACGCAGGTAGTCGCTAGCGCCATAACGATGAAACTATGACAACATGATACCATTACGCAGTTGAGCACAAGAGGTAGAACGCTGTGGGCTCAACCAAGCGCCACCCATGTATTTCGCATATTCCACGTTGGCACAAAGTTTGAAAGCAGGCTAACGAGGTGCCAATCCTCACGTCCTATCGCGCAATTCCTTCGAATTGCTAATGATTCACAACCTGTGCTGCGCCGGTCAGGATCCAGGAAATTGTTCTGATGTACGTTACCCACCTAGGTTTCGATACTTCCGAAGATCCCGTTGGTGCAAAGGCTTCCTTAGGGCGCTGGACACTATCAGGCTCCTAGGGTACATCGCATATGGAACACTGACTACGTCGAGAAACTTGGACTAGGGCTCAGCAAGGACACAGTGAAGAATGATAGAGCCGTTCACCTGGTCCTTGATCAACAAAATGTACTGTGAATGAAGAGGTTGGTATATAGGTGGGATATGGGTGTGGGTACTTAGGACAGAACGCGACTTTTTCGCTCTTCGCAACGCGACATCGCGCGGCAGGCTGGCGCACCCGTAGCGAAAACAACTACGGTATGGAAGAACGCGCGATTGGAGCAGCTTTTTTGCATGCGTGAATTTGGAAAGTTTCTGATTCCTTACTTGCCCGCGCTCACACCCATATGGATAATGCGGTGCGGAAGCACTTAATTCTGTCTCATCATTCGGAAAAACGATAATGTTTGTGACTGTTACACTCATTCGGGCGAATAGCCACTAAAAATAGGCGCTGTAGGTGAGAAAGCTTAGGAAAGCAGAAAGTATGCGTTAAACAGCACGAATGTGAAAAATGAGTGTCATATTCATGATCAGGGCCCCAAATAACCCCTATGCAGAAGTTTACAGTCGTCTCATCAAACGTCCATCAACCATTCCTCTTCCAGGTTCTCCAGAAGCTCTACCATCCATCTCTGCAAAAATAACCTACCTCCCTCTTCACTGCTAGTTAGCGGTCCACTTCTGGTTACCATTTCCTCGTTCATTATCAAATCCATGGCTATTAAGCTTCAAACTCCTTGTCGCAATCAAAGCCGACACAAATATCGCGCTCCAATCGCGCGTTCTTCCATACCGTAGTTGTTTCGCTAGGGGTGCGCCAGCCTGCCGGCGACAAAATGTTCGGCGTTGCTGGAACAGCCGAAAAGCTCCGACAGTTCTGGCCTAAGTACCCGGGAGATTTGAGTATTAGGACAGAATAACCGACTCTTGTCGCTGACTTCGCCAACTCGACATCGCGCGGCAGGCTGGCGCTCCCGCAGCGAAAAAAACTACGGTATGAAAGAACGTGCGATTGGAGCAGCTTTTTTTGCATGCGTGAATTTGTAAGTTTCTGATTTATTTGTTGCCCACGCTCACACTCATTGTATTGAGACATGCGGTGAATCACCAATTCTCTCTCTCATCAATGGAAATGTTTTGTGAATTACACGATTCCGAGCGATGCCGTTAAAGTGGTATTCTAGAATTCTAGAACACTTCAAATTATTGGTGAACGAGGTAATTACACACTCATCGGCCTAGGTAATACTCTATATATCATAGCAAACTCTGACGAACTGATCCTTTGTCGTGAGTCTCATCGAACGTCCATCAACCAATCCTCTTCCAGGGTCTACCATCCATCTCTGCAAAAATAACCTACCTCCCTCTTCACTGCTAGTTAGCGGTCCACTTCTGGTTACCATTTCCTCGTTCATTATCAAATCCATGGCTATTAAGCTTCAAACTCCTTGTCGCAATCAAAGCCGACACAAATATCGCGCTCCAATCGCGCGTTCTTATATACCGTAGTTGTTTTCGCTACGGGTGCGCCAGCCTGCCGCGCGATGTCGCGTTGCGAAGACGCGAAAAAGTCGCGTTCTGTCCTAAGTACCCACACCCTAAAGTACCCACACCCCATGATTACTACTCAACTCGGAAAGGAAAACACGTCTGAAAAACACTAATGGCTCTACAACCTTTTCCAGTCAGACATAACTAGAGGAACAACACTATATTGACACTATGAGAATCCCTGAATCTTTTTTCTTTTTTACTTATTCATCGTAACAACACTAAGCCAGTAACAAGCACAGATACTAATAGTCAAAAATCAAATCTGTGCCACTCTATAGATGGAGAGCTTCATTAAGCAAAATTTTAGAAGTTGTTTTCTGTTACGTTTGTTTCAATTACTCAGCCAAACTGTTCCGTATTGTCGATAAGCGTGCAAGTTAAAGCAAATATAATGCGCTCGGGCATGTTTTCGTTCGTTTTTTTTTTTTTTTTTTTTAAAAGCAGCCCATACAACTATTGCAGCATATGGTGAGGTGAAAAAAACTATAAAAAAACCCCGACAACAGAGCGGGAAGTCATAGATCTGTAGTCTCAGTGTTCCGTTATGTCGTGGATGTCATAACTTTCTGATTGCTTTAAGAGGCAAGGAGCATACCCTACATTCCAGAAGGTGTTGAAACTGCGCGTGGGGGTGAGGGCATGGTAGAGAAAACAACCGCTCCCAGAACTAGAAGTTTATGACCTTGTGGGAGGGAGGGGGGTTTGAAACAGGGTCGATGGTAACTGGCACAAGGACTAAGCTTAGGAGAGGGGAGAAACGCCAGGAGAACACAAATGGCTCACATCTCCTCCAGAATTCTTCCCACCCGAAGGCCTAGTCCCAAGTCCTGTGACTCACTCAGTTGAATGTTCCTCCCCCTCCCCCTCAACGTGGGCGCCCAGAACCAATTCAGTCTGTGGTTTAAGTCTGAAGTAAGGTTGTGACTGAATTTATCTATTTCATAAGTTACACAATCCTTAGGAAGTTGTTCATCTTGAGTGGAAGTGGGTGCAGTGCAATGCACTGGCGCGCGCAGAAAATCAGAGACTGGAGCTTGCGGGAGAGAACACTGGTTGCAGTCAACTTCGAAAGGATATTGATCGAATTCGTTAGTAAAACAGAGTGCGATCGGTCACCTTTCGCTGCTCATCCTTTCCTTTCATGTAGAATAGCTCAATTTTTGTTTCAGCTTTTAGTTTCCTGAGTTCTTAGGCAGACTTTAATGAGACATCAACTGTTGAGAATTCGCAGATTTGTGGAGTTTTCTAATCTTCAGTGCTTTCATAGGAATTCGATGGTGGAACAATAGGTAGAGGAATACGATACAGGCGGTCATTTTGCTTACTTACTACAACCTGGGGAGGTAGATAGCGCTGCAAATCCGGGTTATCTTTCGCCGCGTAGGGTTTGGTTGAGGATAGATTTTGTCTTTCTCAGAGACGAAGTCGCATGGGTTCGCAGAGTGGCACCTTTGGTAGAGTGGAAATAATTTCAGAAGATCTCATAAAATGTTCCCCTCAGCTACGCATATGCCCCTCCTTTGCATATGCCCCTCCCGAAACCACGAAAGCTCTCAGGGAGTTGGGAAGTAGGTATTTGGTAGTAGGCAATAAAAACAAAGAGAAAGATACAAAAGAGGTCGTACAGAGATCACCTTCGGGTGGGGATCACTTTGGTTTCGGGTCTGTACTGATTTTCCTTTCAATTCGTTGTGAAGATCTTGATAATTCATTTTCGTAGTGCAAGAATGGTTTATAATGCACAAAATATCCAATATGTACGCATGTGCTGGGATTCTTGGCATTCTGTTGCACGAGAAGGCGCCTCAACTAACATTAGTTATCCTGTTGAATGTGCGAGAAAAGGGTGACAATAATGACATTGTACTGGCCAATTGCAGTCCGTTGTCAGTGAGCAACTTCCATGTCATGCGTTTGGGAATATAATGCGATGAGGTCACGACATCCCTCTGTGGGCTTATTCGTGATATAACGTCACTCTCTGATATAGGGCAATCCCAACTGGAAGGAGTCTTGTTGCAATTTTGTTATTGAGTTTAGAAAGGATTTCATTAGAGTGAAGTACTTATCACCAGGGAATAGTTTTTAGGACGTAAGAGTTGAGATTGTTCAAATTCGATTGCTTAATTTCCTCTTAGGTAGAGCGTTACATTTTTTCTCGTTGCATTTATTCGTTCTTGTCTTGTTTCGCCTCCTTTCATATTCTCCGCAGAGCGCGTATGAAGGCACTTTCTTTGGCAGTGACCATTTATTTTATGTACTCATATTTTTTTCTTCAGTTGCTGCTGTTTTCTTCCCATATAAAAGATGCCGATGGTGAGAGTAGCGACCAATATTCCTGACAAGGATGTTCCTCCTAATTTTGAGGTCTGTAATTTCTTTAAGAACTCCTTTAGTGCATTTACACGTTTGCTGTCAGAACAAATGAATTTGGATGTATTGACAGGAACGTCTCACTGACATATTGGCGGAGTCCATGAATAAGCCCCGAACCAGAATTGCAGTCGAAGTTTACGCTGGCCAGCGTATCATGCATGGAGGTGTACGAAATCCTGTGGTCATAATCAAGGTACCTGCTTAGCATTTTTACTACTTTAGTGGGCTTGATGTGTAATTTAAAGGAGTTAATTCGATATTGGCCGTCGATTGGTCGTTGAGAAGAAGTCTGAAATAAGATGCATGTAAAATCAGCGTTGTAAAGAATCGAATTAATTTGTGAAGTGAGGGGATTGTAGATCACATTCACATATGCTCGAAATTTATGATTTGCGATGGTTATTTCATAACATGTGCTTATGTCTTATATACTGTTCTTTCTTTCATGGATTTGAAAGGCAAAAGGTTTTACTGTTTATTATAGGTGGAGTCTATAGGCGCTTTGGAACCCGAAAAAAACATTCGACACACGGAACGAGTCACACAGTTATGTCAAGATGTTCTACATGTACCGAAGGATAAGGTATGGTTGTCTACCCTCCCTTTTTCTAGGCTGTTCTTCTCATGAAAGCGTCTACGGATTACTTGAACTCGGCCCTTTGAACCGCCTCAATTTGATACCCCTCTTTCGCCTGAGCAGTGGCTCATGACTTCAGTGACCTCACACATTCAAGCTTTTGCCACACCGTAATTTGGTTACCCACCCCGTTGTCTCCACTCCCTCCTGAGGGATATGGTTTGCAAGGGAAAAAGCAACTCTGCGCTTTTCGCAGCGCGAAACTATTTTCGTTGCTGGCTGATATCTTCTGTGAGCTCTCCAAGAGGTTGTTAACAGACTTTATTGGCTTACGTTTCGGCGGGGTCGCCTTCTTCAGAGCCTGAAAGGATCGAAGCAATTTATGACTACCCGACCAAACGCCTCCGCTATCCTACTGAAATTCGAGAACAAAACAGGTCATCACGCAATACCAAGGTGGGCCACTTACCGTAACTTAGTCCGGTACTCGAGACCACCCGGAACCAGTAGTGGGACACACAGCAATCCGGACCAAACTTGATTCGTACGTTCGGCGACTCCCGCCCTCCACTGATCAGGAAGATCTGTGCTTTGGTCGAAGCGAACCATGTTACTTCAGGTATCGGTTGAAGGTTTTTCTTCTCCAGGAGGGAACGGGACAGTGCTGTTCTCTAATCTGGACCGTACTATCCTGCCCTCAGGCTAGGGGAGAGAATAAAAATCCCTTCAAATTTTCTTGGTTCTCCTACCAAAATCGCCATAAGAGTTTATTTGATTATGCATAACATTCGTGCGTAAAGCAGATTCAGGAAGGAGGCAGCGCACCGCTGAGAGCCTTAGGCTAAGCGTGGGGGAGACGGAGTCCAGAAGTCTGTTAGCCGTTAGGTGTGTCGCCGAATTTGAATTTGTGAGCATCACAGTGGTCATCAGCAGCTGATAAGGAGAGATAGCGCAGGCGGGAGCACCGAATTGAGTGGGTTTAAGTCCGACATCAAGCAGTCCTGCGACCCTAGCTTGGGGAAGTTATTGTGACTAATTGTGATCAGGACATTCGCGGCAGGAACTGAGGGAAGTTCAAGTAGTAAGTAAGCTCTTAAACGGTTTCTTAATGGGAAATATTTGCGACTGAAATAATCTCTGCTTGAAGTTCGTAGCAATCTGTAAAATTTTTGGGAATATGACGAACTTGTGTATACGTAGGCTCTGCTTGGTGTTCTTCCCCTCTCAATGGGTCAAATACGATTCCGCGTTGAGGTTCCGCGACGCACACTTGATCCTGCCTCTATACAGTTGTACCAAATAATATTCTGATACAACATCATTAAAGTTATTGCATTGCACTGGTTTTCAGGTTGTGATCAGTTATTTCGATTTGGCTCCAACAAATGTTGGCTTCGGTGGTACTACATGCGCTGCAACCGGCTAGTCCAGTCTACCGACGGCTGTGTTTCCATTGAGGATTGTTTCACCTTTTCGGTTTATGCCAAGATGTACCGACATATTGATTACTTGTTAAAGGCATTGCCTGAAGCATCAGTTAATAAAGTGGGTTTCGATGTGTAGCTGATGTGTCATGACTATGATGTGCTGCATGAAGGTTTGCGCTTTCGCCGCGCCGAAACTAGTCGCTTGCTGGCTGATATCTCTGTAAGCTCTCCAGATGTGCTTAAGTAGACTTTTGGCTTACGTTTCGGCGGGGTCGCCTTCTTCAGAGCCTGAAAGGATCGAAGCAATTTATGACTACCGACCAAACGCCTCCGCTATCCTACTGAAATTCGAGAACAAAACAGGTCATCACGCAATACCAAGGTGGGCCACTTACCGTAACTTAGTCCGGTACTCGAGACCACCCGGAACCAGTAGTGGGACACACAGCAATCCGGACTAAACTTGATTCGAGAGTTTTCGTTGCGACCTTCTGATCAGCGGAGACCCCACGCCCTCCACTGATCATAAGTGGATCTGGCTTGGGTCGAAGGAACCAACCTTGCGAGTCGTGTAAGGTTTGCTTCCCAGGATCAGGTGAGACAGTTGCCGTTCTCTAATCTGGGCCGTATCACAGCCCCTCAGCTGAGAGAAATAATAATCCCTGCAAATTTTCTTGTCTCTCCTACAAGCGCCATAAAAAATTAATTTGTAGTGCATACATAGGTGTAAGCATAGTCAGGAAGAAAGTGAGAGCCGTAGACCTAGCCATGGAGAGAGGAGCCAGAGTCTTTGAGCCATTAGATTGTCGGCGAAAGTTTGAATTCAGGTCTCATCAGTACGCTGATAAACGAGAGACGCAGCGGGAGACGAAATGAGTGGGTTAAAGGTCGACTTCAAGCAGTCCTTCGACCCTAGCCTGGGGAAGCTTAGGATGTGATCAGGACATTCGCGGCAGGAACTGAGGAAAGTTCAAGTAGTAAGTAAGCTCTTAAACGGTTACTAATGGGAAATATTTACGACTGAAATAATCTCTGCTTGAAATTCGTAGCAATCTGTAAAATTTTGGGAATATGACGAACTTGTGTATACGTAGGCTCTGCTTGGTGTTCTTCCCCTCTCAATGGGTCAAATACGATTCCGCGTTGAGGTTCCGCGACGCACACTTGATCCTGCCTCTATACAGTTGTACCAAATTATATTCTGATACAACATCATTAAAGTTATTGCATTGCACTGGTTTTCAGGTTGTGATCAGTTATTTCGATTTGGCTCCAACAAATGTTGGCTTCGGTGGTACTACAGTGGCCGCTGCAACCGTCTAGTCCAGTCTACCGACCCCGTGTTTCCATTTAGGAGTTTTTTCACCCTTTCCGGTTATGCCAAGTGTACCAGCACATATTTATTCACTTGTTAAAAGATATGCCTGAGCATCAGTTTAATAAAGCGTTTACGATGTTAGCGGAGAGTGTGACTATGATGTGCTGCATGAGGTGGTTGATTACTTGGTTACTCATTCATGATATTACACTCGACGTGGTGCTGTATTTTTGCCGTGCAGTGTGGCTCAATGTGGATGCGCATGAAAAATCTTGGCGTAATTTTTAATTTATCACGATAATATTTAACAGATTGCTCAACCGCCCGAGACTATCCTTGTCTTGCGTAAGCTTACGGCTGTCGTTAATGTCCCCTTCATTGGAACCAACACCTCGTGGAGAGACGCGTAGCGCCAACAAAAAGAGTTCATAGCAGTAGAAGGCATCGTCTAAGTAAATGACGGAAAGATACTATCAATATCTATAGCACTTCATAGTCAATGTGGCATTTTCCGCCTCCTCTCCACATTTTTTTTTTGCTTCCTTCCCCCTCACTGAACCAACTCCACTGCAGCACAAAGGACTGAGGGTTTATATAGCCATAGGGGTGTTATCACAATTATACTATTAAAAAGCATTGATAATGGCTTAAGTCCTGCGAGCTATTAGATTCTGTTAGCGGTTCGTTTATTCCATTATGCCTGCCATATCACTCACCTCATTTTGCGAACAGCTACGCATACACTATTCCGCGTCAAATAACCAGAAATGTCGAATTCGCAGAACCGTGGATTAAGCACGTCGGCACAACGTGGCCAAATTTCTCGATTGAAGAGGGTGACATCACGTGCCTCAAAGAGTTCTGAATCGATGCCACTAAGGCACGTCATTTCTGCAACCTGCACAATTCTGGTATTGAAGGTGGGGGAATACAGTCGATATCTCGAAGTCTGATTGGGCGTGTCACCGGAAATGACGTGGCAGCCACCGCACTTGATAGATGTTGTGTGGATAAAATACTCCGCCAGATATCAGCAAGCGTGTTGGAAGCAGCTTATCCGCGCAACTTCTATCAAGTGCGGTGGCTGCCACGTCATTTCCGGTGACACGCCCAATCAGACTTCGAGATATCGACTGTACACAGCGTCTCAGGACAACCGGAGCCTTGGCTGTTCAGCGTTTTGTATGTCTGGGAACTCTCACAAGTGCACACTATCACAGCATCTCCTCTTTCTTTATCTTCTTCAAAAGGCTTAGTCCCAATAAGACACAAAGTGTGTGCTTTCTAGCTACGCTCTCACCCTTTGGTTGACAGAAGCCTTGTAACCAAATATACAACATACAGACATACATACAAACTACGTCCATATCCGATAAGTTGGTAGCGTGTCGAAGTGACGTGGACTTGATAGAAGTTGCCTAGATAAGTCGTTGCCAGCATGCTTTGCTGATATCTCGCGATGTATATTGGAAGCCCCTTATCCACATAGATTCTATCAAGCACACGCCACTTCCGGTGAAACGCCTACCCCAACTTACGGATCTCGAGTATACCAAGTTAGCGGTCATAAAATAGAAGGATTGGGGAGGTTTTGAAATACTTGTGCTTATCATGGTCCTTGCGTGTTCATTCATTTCCCAGTGTGCGTTAAAGTAAAGGGTTTGCTTCCTGACCGAGATGCATTTGTAATGACATTCGGACAGTTTCGAATTCTTTATGAAATGTCAATAATAATGCCACAGTGCTGGGCCGGCACCGAAATTTAATTATTATCCAAATGAAAAACTGGCTTTTGTGTTGCATTCTCATATGTTTGTTGCTTTGAATACTGTCATTCACAGTGTTCCATTCAGCTTGAAGCCTATAAAATTTTGCCATCTAGCGGTTATCGATTCGTATAAACAAAAGAGAAAGATATGAACACCACAGATAAGCTTTATTTGTAACTGTTCGTGGCTATCTCCTTGCCCACTACCATGAGCAAAGTCCAACATTGCCATTGCAGTTGTTCGGACCGGCAGGGCACTGGCTACAAACCGCTCCGATTGGGTAGATGCTTGTTCCAACAGTGTTGACACTAAAAAGGAGACGTTGAATGTAGCGGCAGTGAGGAATTCAAATGGAAGCTTACTAGTCTCTGTATAAGCAGGATGTGAAGTAGAATCCGTTACATCTCTGTGTTGCACATCCAATGTCTCTGTTATTACCCCAGACGATCTGAATTTCATTAGGATTCTGCGAGCAAGCTCCAAGTGCAGTCATGAAATCGCGTCTTATGCGTTGGCCCATGCTGTGAGTGTTAAGATGGTGTCAGATCACCAGAGACGGTAGTAAACTAGCCAAACTTGCACGTTAACGGGCAGTTTTAATGAGCACGTAACGTGGAGGTGCAAGTTTTTCCGATGATGGTGGAAATCGCTTCTATGGCACCTAGGAGACCTATTTATGAAACTCTGAAGAAAGCTTCCCAGGTGAGCTGCAGCTCCCTGGCAGGGTGGTTCCTTGTTACGCGCAGCCGTAAAACGCGCAGGAAGGGCTCGCTGACAGAAAACGGGACGCGGAGGGGCGAAATACAATGTGTTTGGAGAGACGCAGGTGACGCCCGTTACGCGCAGCAAAAAGTCCTTCGGAGGACTTTTTGGAGTTGGCCAACTTCAAACTGCCAGGTGCGTGGGTCAAAGCACGGTGTTGGAAAGGGAAAGGGAGGCACCTTGCATTGATTCGTCAGTGGTGTAGCGCCTGCGGTCTACGTTGGTGTTGGATCAGTCGCGGGATCAATACTACGATAAGTCTAAAGGTTTGCAACCTTCGTAGGCTATTCCCTTTTCTCTACAACCCTTTCACCGCCGATAAGAAGGGCTCCTTAGTGCAGTGGTAACGATGCCGCTCATGGGACGGTGCACCGAAAGTTCGAACCCGTGTGTGACGCAAGGTTTGCAGGCAACGTGGGGCTCACCACTTCCACTATGGCAAATTACCATGGCTCAATAGGAACGTTCTGCCGCTGGCAAGGTTGCTGGATCTACACCGCTTGGAGTCTAAGATTTGCAAACAACATCCGTTGCTTACCTGTTGTCAAGACCTCTTCCGATGCTGTGATCGAGTGATCCCTGGTGCACTGGCAAAAACCCGGCTTTGAGTCCTGTCATCCAAGGTTCAAGTCCGAGAGTGGCGCAAGTTTACAATAATGTGCGGCTGGCGATTTCCAAGAACAGTCAAGTCCATGTTTTCACATTCTTTGTTCCTCGTCAATGGGTGAAAATCGCCAAATTTGCTTGCCAGTCTACAGCACTTTACTACCGTCCCAGGTGCGACGCACTAGCGGTTCGAGCGTTGTACTAGTAACTTGACAGTGTTTGAATGTGGTGGGAATCACGTTGATTTTTGCCATTTTCCCTGGCTCATGAGGATGAGAGA